AATTTAAAAACGATTAGAAATAGCGACCGAACCTTGAAGACGGCGTTTAGTTCTAAGACGAATAACCACAGCTATCCAGTCTTTTTATGCGCTGGAGCCTGTGAGGAACCAAACTTAAATAAGGACAAAAGGTGTTCAAAATTTGAAAAAGTGCTTTCATTTAATTGTGTCAAGAATGGCTAACAAAGGCTCAAAAGCAATACAAAATAACTTAAATACAAAATAACATGAATCTGGGCCCAACCTAACTGAGGATCCAACTCAAACAAAAAAACTGACCTGCAAACAAAGAACTAAATGCTGCTTAAAAAGGGATGGAGTAACCCAAGTCTACCACATGAGGGAGGCACAACATAACAAAAGAACTAATAAATACAAAATTAACCATTCTATGAAACAAATAAAGCAAAACTAACTTTTAATTAGCAGAAACAATAAGTGAGTATTTAAGTGACAAACAAATTGAAACAAGTCTCCCCCGTCAGTCTTTCAAAAATGGTACACTCCAGGTTTCCTGCTCCAGCTGGTTTGCATCAGCAGCACCTCAAATGTAAAGAAACCATTCAGACAGACATTAACTAAAGTGTGCACCCATTAGAAAATACCTGTCTAAAAGAAATAACCAACGTAAACATAAACTGTTATATAATATAAAGCAAGAAAAGAAAATACTAACACGATGTGGTGGTGGGAGGATCATCCACCACAAGCTGTTTGGCACTACCTACTTGTGCGAAAACACTTTCTCAGCACTGATGTACCTTAAAAATAACTACAGTTCGCGACTGAATGTGGAGGGTGATCTCAGAGTAGAGGTATCCAACATTAAACCAAGATTGGACTTGCTCCAAAGATATTCCACATCCATCTCATTAGGTGCGGTTAAGTTCAAATTAAATTATTGAGTAAATGAGTGTAGAATAATGTTATGGCTGTTGTGTTATTTTGTGTTGTCAGTATGCTCCTGTTTGGATAGGCCTATAGTGCGTGCGCTGTTGCGCGCAATGTTTATATATGTTTATCCTGGGGGGAGGTTGCAAGATAACCTGACTCCGCCAGATGGATTTGCTCCGCATATCCATCTGGAAACCTTCCGTTTAAGTAATTTTGGGAAGGGGCTGATTGGCCTATGTTGGTGATAGACGGGCCAAATAAACCAATCAGATCAACGAAGCATATGATGTACTAACAGCCAGGCTACTCTTGCCGAAACCAGTCGGGAGAAGAGCAAAAACATCTTTTCCTCTGAGAAAAGCCTCCAGAGCAGTGTTTTGCTCTTCTTTCAGTGAAGAAATACTTTGTAATTCCGATAAAACTTGCTCGATAGCCACGCTAACGCTAGTTTCATCGGCTGAAGCCGCCATGTTCTTTAGAATGAACTGTCGCGCTTCTCGTTACGTCACACCTCAACCCGCCTCAAAGCCAACGCTGATTGGACGTTCGTTTGGTGAACGGCTACAAATTTTCTTTAACGGAGAGTCTCCAGACTGATTAGCGAGTGAAATCTTGAAAGCTCGCGAGATCAGGATGGTCTCACGAGGCTAGTTGCAAGACACTTGCACCGTCATTTTGGGGGTCGTGGGCTCAAAGTTTTGGGAACCCCTGCTATAGACTGTTTGAGCACAGATGGATGCATTATAGTGCTTATGTCTTGGTGGGTTGTGCTAATCATGCTTTCCAAGCAAATTAATAGAAATTTGGTTTGAAGGAGAACCTCTTGAACACCTCATCAGAAGGCAAGGACGGAGTGTTTCTTAGTGCTCCAAGGTCTCGTTCTCAGACTGAACTAAATTTAGCTTTTCATTTGAAAAAAAAATAACGTCCCAAAGTTAAAGGAACTTGTGGATTATTTTTTATATATATATATATATATATATATATATATATATATATAAAAAAGAAATCTGCTGCAGCTGATGCTTGTTTACCAGCAGATGCCTGTCTGCCTGTCTGATTGGGCTTCAACCCACAAACATCTAAACTACAAAAAAAAACTGCTTTAATGTATGTTTGCTGTTAATTATCAGCTAATTACATCCATCCCAGCTTTTCTAAAAATATATATTCTTGCCCTCCAATTTTTCATTTAGATTTTTTATTCAGCAAAAACAACCTCTACACTGTTGGGGTTATAAAATCTAATGATTTCTTTTTAAAACTTAGCATTAAGAAAGTTAATGAAGTCCAATATATTACCTATGTGATGTTTTTTTTGTTTTCAAAATATTGAAATATGGTTTATAAAAGTCCCTGTTTTTTAGTTTGGGCTTCATGTCTGTTTTTAAACATATTTTCAACCTTTACAGAATTTCTAAACTGTGAATTCATGTTCAAAAAATTTATTTAGCAGCAAAAGCTTGAGTGTTATGGCAGGCAGAATGATTTACTTTAACAGGATTATTGTTAAAATAGAAAAGTCTTCTTTTCCTCCAAATGCAGAGTCCTATCTTCAGTTTTCGGTTAAAGTAGAAAGTTAGCCAACAGCTGAAGAAATTGTGCAGATCTAACATGTTTTTGTTCCTCCTTTCTAGTCACCAGGAAACCTTTGCCTCCGCTTCCTGTGGAGGGAAATAATGTGAGTAACCAGCAGCACTCAGGCTGAATCAGGCCAAAGGGAGACGCTGAGACGAGTTCTCTGTCCTGTCCTTCCCCCTACAGCGCCGGCATCGTCCTCCTCCCATCCCACAGGACGGGGATGATATAGACGATGATGATGACGATGATGACGACGAGGAGGAGGACAAGGAGGAAGAGGAGGTTGTGGTGGCCCTGTACGATTTTCCAGGATTGGAGCCGCACGACCTGAAACTGGTCAGGGGGGGAGAGTACGTCCTTCTGGAGAGGTGTGACGCCAACTGGTACAAGGCCCGCAATGAGTACGGGTGAGTGTTCAGACGCTGGAAACGCTTTTCATTGTGCTGTCATATGTCAGAGGACACAAAGTCAGTCATTCTAGCCCTCAGGTTGTTTCAGAAACTTCCTGTTTGGGAATTTTTGTCAAACATCCTTGGAAAATCCAAAGTACATCCCATGATTTAGCAGCACTTGGGTCAGTAGTAAGAACTCTACCCAAGTTAGGAAAGGAGATCCAGGCAGCTTTCAGCCTTATGGACGTCATTACGTGACAGATGCATATAAACATGGGCGGTTTTAGGCAGGGGCCTAAAGGGGCCAGTGCCCTGGCAGACCTGCTCCTGGCTCCTGTTAACTGTGTATAGAGGCTTTGACTAGGCAGGATTAGTAGATCTGTGCAGATTTTTTCCCTTCTGCCACACAGTGAAAATTTCCCACATTTGACATGGACACATTATAAAACGTTTTTAAAACTAAATAATAAATAAACCACTGGCTTAACGAGACTTAAAGGTATACTATGCAACCGGTGTTGATTTTCCAGCGAGGCTCCCCCCAGAGGGCGAAAGTAAAAGTGCACTGTCGTAAATATGCACAGCTGTTCTCCTGGTTTCTCCG